AGTATATGATAAATCGCATCAACTGCCAGTATATGATAAATCGCATCAACTGCCAGTATATGATAAATCGCATCAACTGCCAGTATATGATAAATCGCATCAACTGCCAGTATATGATAAATCGCATCAACTGCCAGTATATGATAATCGCATCAACTGCCAATATATGATAAATCGCATCAACTGCCAGTATATGATAAACAGTATATGATAAATCGCATCAACTGCCAGTATATGATAAATCGCATCCCGTCATCCCCACATCAAAAAATAAATACATTCAGAAATTTTAAAATCATTGAATCCCAAATTACATGCATGTTTTTGACCTTGCCTTAGAAAATAGCAAGTTTTAATTAGGTCATCAGATTTCTGCGGTATACAGACTTACTTTTTCTCTTTCTTCAAATAACCAGAAGAATGGAGTCATAGCACCGACATCTAGAGCATGAGTACAGAGGCCCATAATATGATTTAGGATTCTTGTCTGTTCAGCAAATAACACTGTAATGACAACATTAACAAGTTATTGTCAATGACATAGACCTTGTTTGTATTATAGACATGAAATATCACATGACTACAAAGGTGATATCCATAATATTTTCAAACATGTACGAGATATGGCGCCATCAAACTGCAATCATTTGAGCAAGACGGCTGATAGTCAGCCACACATGTTCGATATGATGTCTGATGTGTGTATGAAACTTTAATTAGACTGGGCCAGGCACATCAAAAATGTATTATTTTTAAAAAATGGCTGCCAGTAGGCCATTTTGATCTATTCTGAATAATAAAAGTAAATGAATCATAGTTTCAAAATAACAGTCAGCATTTTGTTTATAAAACAATTTTTAATCTTGCCAGTTCAAACGTATTGATTATCAACTCAAATAAACATGGTTTTAGTGCAAATATTAAAAATATATTTCAAACATACGAGTTGGCATTGGGCCATTCCAGTTTATATCTGCACCCCCACCCCTGTTGATGAGCTTGTGTGTTTACTTCATACAGGGTATAATTTCCATGGGTGTATAAGTCATACAAATTTGTATTTTCAAATCACCATTCACTATACAGTAATGGAAATCCAAAACTATAGTTCCTACTTATGGTGTTGATGAGTTCCAATGTGCCACCATACAGAGTAGAATTTCCAAATCTCCATTCACTATACAGTAATGGAAATCCAAAACTATAGTTCCTACTTATGGTGTTGAGTTCCATTGTGCCACCATACAGAGTAGGATTTCCAAATTTAAATCTCATCATATGCTAATTTACCAAATTCAAAATTTTATATTTGATAATGGAAATCCAAACTAGTCCTGATTCACTGTGTTGATGAGCTCATTCGTGCCACCATCCTTATCTAATTTCAGTAATAACTATTCCATACTGGCCTAATTTTTTTACCATATACAGTCAGAATTCCAAGTTTTTTTAATCATACTGTTGGAAATCCAACCTCATCAACCGGTATGTGGCGAGATAAACTAGGCCATATTTTATTTCGTAGCCATAACTGCCTGGATTTCCAGGAATTTTTTTTTTCCATACTTGTCTAGATTTCCAGATTCTGTTTCTCCATATACAGTTGGAATTCCGGGGTATTTTCCCCATCATACAGTGCGGGAACCCGACCACATCAACAGGGGAGGATGCAGATATAAACTGGAATGGCTCATTCCATGAAAAAAAAATCAGCCCTCCATATAAAAAGTACCTGCCTGTATAAACAACCTATAGATATAATGTATAATGTGTGTTGTTAATATGACATTAAATTTTTCCACATAATCGTTAACAGATACCTCTTATGTACTTCGCTCTGATTGGTGCTTCAATATTTAATAGCCTTTCTGTGGCGAGGGTGAAACATTGTTCATTACACATCATGGACACATAATCCAGTCTGTCAAAATATGGCAATGCTTGAGTGTAAGTCTTGTATTCAATTAACTTTTCTGTACCACGGTGTAGCAGGCCAACGTGGGGATCACATCGAACGACACTCTGTTGATAAATACATAAAATATTAATGGATGAAAAAACATGGAAGAAATGACTTTCAGAAGATGGTTAATCCATCAAGCGAGATATGGTCATCATTAAAGTATAGTAGTGTTGCTAACAAGACACCCTTCCTAGGGTTTGAAATAAATTTTTCAAAACTATAGAATTCAAGTTCCTGGTTCAGGGTGACTTTTCTTTATTTAATGAGACAGGGAAAACTATGCTGTTTCCCCCAAAAAAGTCAAATCAAGTAATTTTTTATTTCACAACATAAAGACATAAAGCTAAAATTCTCGTTGATTTTTGACAACAACTCGGTAATGTTAAGGAGTATATATATATACATGGCTTAGAGAGAATACAACGTACAACTTACAAAAATTGATTTTAAATATTGTCCTCAGAAAAAAAAACAATTGAACAACAAAGTATGGACACATTTTTAGTAGCCCATATGTACAGTTGAAATTATAATGATCCAGCATATAAAAAAGAATTTCTGGTTTATGTAAAATGTTATTGAAGGTGTAATAGAGCAAATATGGTAGCCAAAAAATATGAACAATAAAATAATAATACTAAAATAAAAATGAACAATTGAAATTGGTAATGAAAACATTACCCATAGCTACAAGCTTATAAAAACAGTATCACTAACAAGAGATTCAACTTCAGTATTCTGAAGTTCTCCCAACTGAAATTGCAGAGAAAATACATGGAAGATATCAAGGGATTCAGCTTGGGTATGTAAGCAATTGCAAACCATAGCCTCTTTGAGTCCTGTGTTGTCATAACTATAGCATAGTAATGTATCAATCCTAATGTGGAAATCATTCTACATGCAGTTTACTGTGAGAAATGAAATGACAAGGATGAATTTAGAATGGGCCATTCCAGTTTATATCCGCACCCCCTTGAGGTCGGATGAGGTCGGATTTCCAGCACTGTATGATGGGGAAAATACCCCGGAATTCCAACTGTATATGGCAGTTATGGTTACTAAATAAAATGTGGCCTAGTATATTTCGCCACATACCAGTTGATGAGGTTAGATTTCCAACATTGTATGACTAAAAAAACTTGTATATTGTATATGGTAACAAAATTTGGCCAGTATGAAATAGTTATTACTGCAAGTAGATAAGGATGGCCACTCAACAGAATAGGTCTAATTTATATCTTGACATAGCAGTTGATGAGGCTGGATTTCCAACATTGTATGGCAGAAAAATGGCAAGCTATGGCAGTAATTGAGCTAGATGTATATCTTTGAACTCAAGTTAAACTGCCACTATATCAAATGGGAATCTGTTTTTAAGTTAAAACTTAGAAAAAAGATGAAGGAAAAGATGATTGAATCTGTCTGACAGGTACATTTTTTAATCCACCAATTTGTTACATGTATCATGAAATAAATTGCAAACTATCTCCTGCAGGAGCCACAGGGTAGCCTCACATCAAATACTCCATGGTTATCGTAACTGTGTTTAATTAAGACTGTTATAAAAAACATAAATGATACTACATTGTATTCAATGAAATATTTGTAACTAGTTAACACACTTAATTTGTGGCACGCATGGGTAATAATATACCGTAAAAACTCGATTAATTCGCGGTCTCTATTAGTTCGTGCACCAATTTTATTTTCGAACGCTAATTTTTAAATGCATCCTTTTGATTCGCGGCGTTCAAAAACATGTTTAAAATTGTATCCTATTAATTCGCGGGCCAGAATAAAGTGGATAATATATTGCATGAAGACATTAAAAATATACATATAATTTTATGTTATCAGTACTTGGTGTCGCAGATGATCTCCGTCATCACAGCCTTTCAGTTAGCAAGCAGTTTAGGTTCCGTAAAGATTTGACGTGAAAAAAATCATTCCCCACGTCACTACAGATGTTGGGCAAGATTATTACTTAGTCGATAAATATCCATTGGTCAGCACATCGATTACGAATTTTCGTGATGGAAAGCTTAGTACAGGGATTTTTCATCGCTGGTCCACAGGGTTGCATCGACCATGTGCCCGCCAATATTCTATTACGTCATTTAAGTGAACCGCCCTATGGTGCGTAAATTGACATTTTTGATTGGTCAGGCGATTGACCTCGAGTTACATTTTCATTATACCGGATTCGGTAAAAAACACAGAGTTAAGCGGTCATGTACCTTCTATAAATCTAACCTTGCACACATAATCTTGTACTGATGTGTTTTTTGGCCAAGAAAGACATTCCCTTTCATTTAACTCCCAGTTAACTCTTCACGTCCAAGGTATTTGTGAGAGTTAAAAGATTTTTCGAACAAATGACAAGTAACTATATTGATTTGCGTCAAGCTGGGTGGCCCAAATTTAAATATCAGTGCATGAACTCTGGATGCCATTGCCCAGTGCCGCACGTTATTAGAGTTCAGTCGAAATGTACGTGAATAATGTGATCGAAGTTCGCTGCCCAGAGTTTATTATATTATAGTAAAATTTAATTTGACGTATGGTATGTTTGTGTTTGCATAATTATTATGAATGCAACGCATTATCAAGTCGGTGATATTGAAATATTCACAGACCCAATACCCCGGGTCAGTGCCCTAATAATAGTAAAAAAAAAAAAACTAATTATCATGAAAGCAATACATAACGAAGTACAGAGTCGGTACAATATTGTAAACACATTTGCGTAATTAGAAAAGCAGTGCAATAAGTAAACGACGTTCAAGTTGATATATTCAAGCCGGTACAGAGTTGCATACAAATTGCGTAATTACAGTACTTTCGGATATAATAAAAATTTTACTAGTTTGACGCGCGGGGCACGAAAGAAAAAAAGGTTGCTAAGGTAACGCGCCAGTTCTGTGCGTGACCTGGGGTCAAACTTCAAACTTATTAAAGCACTTTGAATTTATACTTTGCATGATTATATTTGGTCAACGCGAAACATTATTTTTTCTAAACATTTTCTGAGACCATTTTTATCAACGCAGGGTTATTTTTCCAGACATGATGTGCTTCGTAATATCTGCCATAACATCGCCCGGGCGATGCCTAGAAAAATAAAAAAGGCAGTGCAGCCAGACGGCTACTTTGTAGCCACGTGTTCATTGTTTGTTTGTGTACAGAGTGACCTTAGCCATTTCACTGTTTCATTTCAAGTGTAACATGGTGCGTGGTCCTTGACGCAGTGCGTGTTCTCTGCCCGACTATACGCCATGAATGTCGATAGCCACGAGTCTCAGAGGCACTAAAAAAAACGTCCTGTAATCGTGTTCATTGGAAAACAAAACAAATCACTAATAAATTTATGAAAACAGCTCCTTTTTGAATCGATCAAAAAGTACTCTTTTAATTCGCGCACCAAAAACCAATAATTTCCGTTTTGACGCTATTAATTCGTGCACTTGAAAAAATAATTATTTTTACTACCGCGAATTAATCGAGTTTTTACGGTACACCGCCTTTTGGTTTAAGAGTATATATGAAATAGTCTGTCCATATAATATTAATATCATTGTTATATTGCTTTGTTTGTGATGTTACAAATGTCATTAGTCTGATACCTATAGTCTTCATAGTAAGACTTTTAAACATTTTATTGACATTGTAGACACTCTAAAATCATTATAACATCACAAAGACCAATACTTAATACTTAATACTAGTATATGCACCAGATCAGTGTTTTTTTAAGGGCAATAAGCAGGTAAATGTTATCGCAGTTCTCCAGCCATTTCACCCCCCCGAAATAGATGTAAGGATAAGATATGAAATTTTACGTGTTTCCCCCAAATTTTTACTTATGTTTCCCTACTTTAGCAAAACCACTGCATGTTGTAAGACAGGTTGCTCAAATATTTAAAATATTATACCACTGCACATATAAGAATTTTTGTGTGTGCTCACTAGCCAAAATGTTTTATTAATTTTGACCTCCGTGTGTCCGTGCGCGTGTGCGTACGTCTATGCATGCGTCCGGACCTGTATCTTAGAAATGCCTGGACCAATCAAAATCAAACTTTACACATACATCATACATGATATTATACATATGCACGTCAATTTGATTCATGATCCGATTCAAGATGGCCGAATGGCGGCCATTTTTGTGCTAAAAATCAAGCATTTTTCGGCTGTTTACAGATGGATTTTGTACAAATTGGTATATACATTAGACATTATAGAATCTTGATGCACATCTTTTTGTTTTACAATCTGATTCAAGATGGCCGAATGGAGGCCATTTTTGTGCTAAAAAATCCTAAAAATCAAGCATTTCTGGGCTGTTCACAGATGGATTTTGTTAAAACTTGGTGTATACACTAGACATTATGGGACCTTGATGCAAATAATTTTGTTTTTCAGATTAGATTCGAAATGGCCGACTGGCGGCCATTTTGTTTTAATGAATGTGGTTCTCGTGCTATATGTCTGACTTGCTTTCACTGATTATGTTCAAATTTTAAATATTCATTATACATCATGTCATAGATAGACAGATATATTGGTTTGATGATCCTATTCAAAATGGCCGAATGGTGGCCATTTTTGTGCTAAAAAAATCATCAAATATCAAGCATTTCTGGCATTTATGGATGGATTTTGTTAAAACTTGGTACATATATATTAGACATAACAGGTTTCAGATGCACATTATTTATTTTTCAGATCAGATTCAAAATGGCTGTCTGGTGGCCATTTTGTTTTAATGAATGGGCTTCGAGAGCCATATCTCTTAAATGCTTTGACTGATTATATTCAAATTTTATATATTCGTTATATATCATGTTAAAAAATCATATTCCTGACATGGTTATATTCCAGTTATATTACTATTAACAAAACTATATATCTTAAATTTGATAACTAACGGGGACTGTGCCATGCATGGCTTGTTTATTTAGCTTTAGGAGAGAGTAGGAAATCAAACGAATGAGGCCACGGTGGTAGCAGGTCGATCAAATTTTATGCAAATGTATGCATAGATTCCATGATGCCA